CAGCATATGGGCATTTTTGGTTGTCACAGGGGAAACAAGTTCGAAGTATCACAACCAAAGACAAAATTTCATATTTTTGTATGTAAAACATGCTACAGAGGTCGTTGGAGCTTCTAGAATATTTTCTGAGCTATTAGGAGTATGCTCTATAGGTCTATCTAGGTGGCTATACCAAAATAAATTTTGGGGGTTTGAGTGCCCATATGCTGGTTCTAATAAAACCACACTCAAATCAGAGAATTTCCCTCCGATCGGCTCTCCATCGATTCAAATATTAATATTAAGAAATAGTTGTTGGGGCCCAGTGTTGATACTTTTCTTGCCGAGGTGTTTACTCACAGTAGTGTTTTGGGACAACCCACAGAGTATCATAGTATACACAGGACTCCCACCCATTGGGATTTTGTTTTATGGCCATGTGGCAGGTTTAGCAAATATATGGGTATTCCCTTCGTAATTTTTACTTTCGATAAGAGAATACCAACGAGGATGAGCCGCCCGCTCCAGACCCTCACCCCTTAAATAGTGCAAGTCTTAAATAGTGCAAGTATTGACCGTTGAGGGGGCGCTTTTATTTTTCTGTGGCTAGCTTACCGGTAAGTTAAAGCGGGATCTTCCCCATCCTCTCAGGGACTAAAGCTCCGGGACCTAACTGTTAACTTCACAAAAAGCCAGAGGTCTTAAGACAGGTGTATGCGGCCAACCCTATATTCCTCTTCCCCCCCTCCCTAGATACCGGTAATTGAACTGCATATAACAGCTCCTTGCTCGTTAGGAACGAAAGGCGCCATGGTGTAGAGTGAGAATCTGTGACTAATGTGCTGTGTTGTGGTGTGGTGTGGTATTTGGCCGCCGCCGGATCGGATAGTAGTAAAGTAACTAGTACAATAGGGCTTTATCCCGAGCTATACTATACCACATTCTTTCTCTCCTCTACTCCCTTGCTCGCTAGGCTGTTATCATAGCGAAGGAGGCTTCAAGACAAAAAAAGCAAAGGAGATTAATCTACTTGCAACAAAACTCCAATCTTAATCCGAGTTAACCTCCATGCTCCCTTCCCATGCTCCCCAGTATCGTAAACGCCAAGCTAGCCCCCGAGTTTAACAACAATTACTACCCGACCGGAATCCGCTACAGTAGTAGCTCCGGCACTAATGATGCCACTGTTGTAGATAGTCAAGTACGCTCTCACAAGTCTATTGTGATGAACCAACTTATGTGACATGAGCATAATTTTGGTCCTGAGCTTTGTGTTTTCTTTGTTAGACTGATGTGGTCTATAAGATAAAATGGGGTATGGAATTAGGGCTAGGATGAGATGTTTTATTTTTCCTTTTAAGCATGTTCATTCTTAGCTAGAACCAAGAGAGTCCTTTACAACTCCACACTCATCTCCTCCCTCCACCAAAAGGTCTCGTCTTCGTTTCCTGCCACGGCCAGCCATCCACTGCCATCACACTTCCTGTTGCTCAACAGCCACAACATACCTGATCGATTCCCCATCACATGTACTCGAGTACTAGCACATGGGATAAGGCGACACGAGATGCTGGGGTGCCATACTTGTGCACTACGAGTGCTTGTACCGTACTTGTAGCGGTACCCAGCACAAGCATCATACCGATACTCGAGCACAGGGCTTGAGTCGGCGCTCGGGTAACTTAAAGTATTCCATGCATACGGTACATGTTTGTGCTCGAATGAGAACAGCAAAGACAAAGAGGTTAAAATGTCCCCCGGCACTAGTACTGTACCGGTATTACCGCAATGCATGAATTCTTACCAAAGGCCAACAGCACCGTGGCGCGAGGCGGCGGGCTGCACCACTTCATAGGGATAGACTCCAGGAATACTCAGCCATGGAATGTGCAGTCATCAAATGGCCCTCCCTTCCATTCCTTTATCTCCCCCACATCCCGACATCCTTTCCCGCGTGGGGAAGGCTAGAAGGGTACTGGTACTCTACTGGTGCTCGTAGTGTATTGACCGCCGCACCGTACCCGTAAAAACTCTAATAATCCAACCCGGTGCTACCGTACCGGTATGTCGTTGGAGTTGCCTCCTCTGGTGCTGTTCCGTTAAGGTCTAGAGTTTTTCTTGTTTTGTTTTCTATGTCTCTCACAGGTGCTGACCAGGTTTTTTTTTTTAGCCGCCCTTCTGGCCCCTTTTCCAAAGTAGGGAGAGTTCAGGACCGGGCGGATTGGGGCTGGCCTAAGTCTTGGACATACTCGAGCATCAGTACTCGTACAGTACTAGTACAAGTACACTTGTAACGTTGTGAATACTCTGGCCACATGCCTGTCCAGTCATGCCTCCTTCAGTTAGCTATGAATAATCCTAATTAAAGAGCGCACACCATGCGGTTCAACTATTTTAGCTTTTCTACGGAGGTACCTGGTACTCGTACAGCTCTTAAGTTTTGTATGTTCCACGAGCAAGGGGTGTTCACCTGGTGGCGGGGCACCTAACGCGAATTAGGAAACTTTCACTGGAAATTGCCCAATTCGCCACCCATACCCATGCTAGCCCAGCACTCCCTGCTTGTACAGTAGAACATACAAAACTTAGGAGCCGTACCTCCGTAGTACTGTACCGTGTTGGTATTCTCTTCATCCGTCATAAGCATTCATTTCGCCACCGCAGACATGATAAACTCTGGCGTTTGTTTCTCTTGTTAGCGAAGTGGATGAAGCATAGATAAAATTTTGCCATACTGTACCATTGTTAAACGTTTGGCCAAGTCCACATCGCGATCGCAAGAATGCAACCAAATAGCTCCGGGAGCAATGTATGGGGTGCGCCGAAAGAAATCCTCTAAACCGCTGAGATATTCAGCCCCATTCAGAGTGCTGAACACTACCCTATCTGAGGATTTGGGAGTAAATCTACGCGGACACGGTTACCCCTATCACGGTCGTGCTGAGCTCTACGAAGTTTTCGGTATTCTGAGCACTACGCCACTTTAGAACCATGAAGTTTTTCCTATCACGCCCTACCCAAATAGGCTACTGATGAACATTTTAAGTGGGGCTTGGAGTTTCTCAGCTATTTATGGAACACCGGTAATAAACACCTGAATCTCCCCCCCTGAGCTCGAACGAGCGTTTTAATTTCAAGAGTAGGGAGAAATTTGGCCTCTAGCATGAGAAGCATGCCAAGAAAGAGCCAGAGTGATTTTCACTTTACGATTCTCTCGCTTAAGAACGCACGCCGGTGCTTGACACGTTTTTATTGCTTACATCCCTACAAGTACTGTCCAGCACCATTACTTGCGTGCTTCAATACAATCCCGCAATGCCTCAGGGGTTAAGCACGACGCAGAAATAGAGGTATTCGGCATTTAGAACCCGAACATTAGGGCCTGAGTTTGGTATGGGCGCTCGGATGTGCACGGATAATTTACCATACAAACCCTCGCCACCTGTATCTGGGTTTCTTCAAGCCGGGTGCTAGAGTACCGGTACCGGTACCGGTATCGTACTAGTACTGTTCTGGTGCCGTGGTTGTAGTACCGGTACGGATTTGATTGGTGGATGGACGAGGGAGAAGGTGGGGGAGTTCTCCGAAAAGGCTTGTATCCTAGTATACGGTACCGCACCTACTATGATAAGGGATAATGTATTCTGGTATTGAGGTGGTTTTGGTAGTGTTTGTGCTCGCACAGTATCCGGTAGTCGAGTTGGTGCTGGTCGATGTTCATTTCTGTCACTCACCGGCTCCCCTGCCAACTTGAGGAGATACAAACCAATGTGTTCAGATGCAGCAATTAACTGGCCCCGTGTATTAGAGAAGCGGGCCCTCGCTTTCTGCCGCTGGAGCTGTATCGGGATATCGGATCACGCCAGTGACGGTTGGCAGCTTATCACAATGGCATTATGAGGAGGAGTATTTGAGTACCGTACAGCAGGGCCACCCATAACTTATTGCGATGTTGCAAAAAAGGATCACTCCCTTCCGCCCGAGAACTGTAACTTACCAGCACCATACTTGTGCCCGAGTACTAGAACACGCACAGTGCCGGCTTCTGGTACAAAGTATTCATGCCCTCCTCCCTGTCCCCCTGTCGCAATGGGGAATTATGGTTGGATGAGATCTTGTAACTTATGACTTGATTACTCAACCACCATCCCATGAGGGTCCTGCGCAGCGAGTGGAAATATGGGCGGAAGCAACTACCGGGGGGTTGGGTTTGTGCGCGGGTTGTGTGGTGCTCTACTCGAGTAGTATTTCTGAACAAGCAGCATGTTTTTATTCTTGTTTCGGTCCTAGAACTTTGTTTGGCTGCAGGTGGTGTTGAACTGAGCCCTGGGTCTTAAGTGCATTTTGGTAAGAGTGCCGTGCTACCTGAACAAGTAGTATTGCATGATGCCAGGGTGAGTCTACTTGTAACTGAGTGGATAGGTTTCACCTTTGGGCGCTTGTCGGGTTACTCAAGTCTGGAGGCACAGTTCACCGTGCAGGTACGGTACTCGAGGACCAGTACTCCTACTCCACCTCAGGCTGTGTACCCTGCACATTCTGCAGATCCGACAAGGCAGAATAGCGGTGCAAGTGGGTTAAGTCAGGAGACGGGACAATAACTAATCAACATCCCTCGTATCGGTGCAGTAATAGAGAGCCGCGAAGGGCAAAAGAGCCCCAACCAGACCCAGGCAATTCCCGAAAGTACACACAGAACGAACCTCTCATCACTAATATCCCCTAGCGTAATTCTCAGTCCTCCAGGAAACTCATTACCCAGACGCACAAAGATAGGCTTCCATAAGCTCGGCGCTTTCAAGATTACCATAAGCTGTCCCGTAATTTAGCGTTCCCCGGCACGGCCCCATGCAGTGTCACAAAATCTGGGTTGTTTGAAATTAGTTCCAACACTAGGAGATTCCAATAATAGGAAGTGCTCGCTGAGGGTTGGGTCCACCACCTTGTTTTGTAAAAAACTTCTTAAGGGGGTTAACGTCCAGTCATGGCCCGGCCGCTCGGTGAATTTTCGACAACTCTGCGAGTGCAATCGGGAAGGAAAAAGCCCTTTATCATATAAAAAGGAAGAAAGGAAGGGAACTGGCAGGAGGAAGTGTGAGGAAAGGAAAGACTCCACCTGCTTAACCTTTACGACTGATTTTCCCTTTCCCCCGAACGGCCTTCTCACGGATAGATGGAAGCGAGAGCGGGGGCGAAAACTCGTTAATTTTTTATTATTTTTTATTATTTTTTTTTTTTCTTGAGGTGGGAGAAAGGAAGGAAAGATGGCGTACCAATCTCATGAACAACATCACCAGGGGGATCAATATCCCCAGGCCGCTTACTCCCCCCAAGCCAATGGGAACACGCAATCGCATGGCTACCCGCAAGAACCGCAGCAGCTTCACCACGGCGGGTACAACTACAACCTAGACCAGTCTAAGGGAATGGGATATGTTCCACCGCCGCCACAGGGACATCCCCAGCATCACGGTCCGCAGAAATGGGAGCATGGGTTGTGCGGGTGCTTTGATAAGTGCGGGGTTTGTAAGTGCACCGACTGAACCGGGCCGGCGGGAAGAGAGGGAAACCTCGACTTTGGATATATATGGAGAAGGACCAACATTGGCTAATTTTATCCTTAAGGTTGCACTGGTTGGTGGTGTCCTTGCATCCTCTTTGGAAGGACCAGGTATCGTCTGCACAATCCTACGATGGACGGGTATTCGTGCTGCAATGGAGGGGTAAATTGTCCCGCATTACTTTTTCTTATATTATTCGTGGCTCCCGGCATTTTTTTTTTCTAACCCGGGTTCGTTTTTAGTGCATGGGATACGCTGCCCTTTTCACGTGCCTACCTCCGTTCAACTTCATTCTCGGCACGATGCAACGTGGTGAGATCAGGCGAAAATATAATTTAGAGGGTAGTGGCTGCGGGGATTGCTGCAAGACATACTGCTGTGGGTGCTGCGCCCTCATCCAGGAAGAGAATGAAGTAGTATCAAGGGCCAAAAAGACGCAAGCCATGGGGGGCGGTTACCAAGCCCCTGGGGGCATGTATTATGGGCATTGATTCTCTAGTCTATTTCATATTTAGCGTCTGGATTTTCGGTTTACGTTATGGAATTTTTTCATTACCACTGCTTCAACTTTTGCTCTTTTTATAGCTTTATTTTCTTAATATCAATCTTAAGCTTGTGATTGTACACGCATGGGTGCAGTCCCCCGAATTTCTGTTTTTAGACTATCATTTTCCACTCCTCGCACATTCAGTCTTACCCCTCTTGCCAAGGTGTTACGACTGAAGGCTATCGAGGCTGTCTAGCACCTCTTGTGCAAAAGGTTGTCCTTAATCTCGGAAAGTGGACAAAGGGTAAAGCATGCAGCAGGCTGCCCGGGATTTCAAGAAAGTCTTAACCCGGGTGAAGCCTTCACAGACTAGGCTGGCTCAGTCCTGCAGAGATATCCTAGGTTCTGCAATTATCTTCCGATAGTACCTGAGTAGTGCTTCGCGATCGCGCACCTAGCTTATTGTGGCCGTATACTGATATGGCTCTCACACGACCAACCTCAGAGATTACCAGTCAATTCCGGGACTCCCCGATATATCCTGGGTTTCCGCTGCCCACCCCCATACGAAGATCGGACATATGGAACGGTATTAAACCCCCGGCTACTGCTGACCCTACGCAGGAATGTAGGTCTTTCCCGGGGCGGCTTCTTCCTCTTCCGGGGCGCCGTGGCTACTCGTCTTTCCGGTTCCTGTAGTGGCGTATAGTATATCAGGTTACCCATGATAAAACTCCCGGGTTTTTCGGTACCATTGCCGGGGAAGCCTTAACCAGTAGTCACCGTTCGTCGCATTTACCCTCGCTGCGAAATCCGATTCACCGGCTGCGTGGGGTACACCCCATGCAGTCAGTAGGTAACACATTCGGGACGACCCTTATTAATCTCGTTCGGGTACCGCTTTCTTCCTTTTCACCACGGCAAGCAGTGTGAAAGGGCCGAGCCGGTCAGCACTAGAAGGATACCATATCTCTTCCCCAAAGCCTCCACCTCAAAAGGGTGATTGAGTGTTCTGAAGGCAAGAGTTTAATCTCTGCAGCAATTCCATCGGCGATGAGTATTAAGGGGTAATTTCATAGTCCGTCACTCGCCAACCCGGTTTGGAAAAGGAGGAAAAGACCCTAGACATGTGGGTAGGGAACCAGCTCGAGTAACTGGGGAATACGAAGACTGGTTGGAATGGGAGGATGTAAGGTGTGAAACTCGGACAAGTAATTATTAAGTCAGAGGATAAAAAGCCATAAATCGAGTATGAAGCTGTGAAAGATGGGGCCAAGCTCTAGGAGTGCAATGAATCATTTTGTGATTATCTGCCATATACTGTACGCTTATTCTTAGTTCACACCCTAAAATGTTGAACTGTACTGATGCCTGACGCTCCCGGCCGGGGCTGCGAATCGAGTTGGATATTAGCTTGTGCATCGTGGGGAGCAAAAACTTGACAAGGAGTGAAGAATTGGGATAGCTAAGTATGGCGAGAATGGTGAAAAACCATACAAGTAATAGAGGCTTCCTTTATGAGTTCACCGGCCCTATTTGGCTCTTCACATATAAAACCATGCAATTTTTCTTGCGGATCTACTTTTTGCTACGGTTTAAATCGCTTGGGCCAAAGAGGAGAAAAAATAAATATCCTACTTGGGGTCCTGAAAGTTGGGCCAAAAAAGTGAGATGTTGCAACAAAAACCACCAGAGTCCGAAAAACCCCTTTTCAATGGCGTGCCAAATAAGGAATATGTACAGCATAGAAACGAGTAGCCATCCGGGGGCACCACGCAGTGCTACAGACTATCTAGCGAAGAGGGGGTTTTTGCACGGCACACTGAATCACTTGTGCCTGGTACCTAGCATACTTGCCTACTTCTCTTATTCAATGTTTCCCCTGCACTGAGAGTAGTGCATGTACAGCTGTCTAGATAGCCGGGGGGAAACAATCTACAGAGAGAACCCGGACCTTTAGATAAGGCCCAAGAGGCTTCGATAGAAACTTTACATAATATTGCCTTGATCTCGCATGAAAATATCTTTCTCCTGAGCTGTGGGAGGTGAGCATTCAAACACCCGCTCGCTTTCTGAATATTGTAAAGTATAGCTCAACGCATTGAACTATAATTGTTTCCCGGAAACCTAGTGGTATGGTCGAGGTTTCTCTCCCCTCTCTGAATATTATACCTCAAACCCTTCAGAGCGGGGTCACTCGCCACCTCAGATCCATCGCCGGGAAGTCCTTTGCGCTAAGATATCCTCTTCGGAGAACCCGGGGATATTTTTTAAGGTGCTGAATCCTGTAAAGACTAAATATATCAGAAATCTGGCCAAACTCTTCCATTCAGAGTTTTTAACCCTATCTTCATTAGTGTTTGTCTGGTGATTGTCAAGTATTTTGAAGATTTGTTCCATATATTTCGCATTTCATTCCTAGCCTTATCTGTTGGCTTTCTGGTCCAACTTTTCTGGCCGGTTTGAGGGTCGCTTCGTTATGTATAGTTGGTGGTGACGCCGGAGCATAAAATTCCGAGTGATATCTTGTGATTAGATCTGGAGTGCTGGGACGAGAATTGTTACCAAGGAGGATTCGTTTTCCTTGCACCCCTCTAGAGGCTCCGGTCGACTCTAAAAGAGCTTTATGGAGCCCGGGTTAGGGCAAATAGTTCTAATTCCTCTTGATTTCCTTGTGAGTCTACAATAGATCCTCCAATACGATAAAGATAGCGTTAGGAACCATGGAGCAAGTCGAAATCCACAAGGAGCTGTGAAAAACAACAGACCAGTACACCCCAAACTCGAGACACCATCTGTGTTCCATCTTAGTCGAAAATAAAACCACTTGGTAGAAGGGATATTCCGGTGGCCAAGTTGCTATCCCCCTCACGAAGTAGGCCGCTCTCCCACTAGGAGATCCCAGTTTTTAAGAAAAAACTTAAGCTCTTCTAGTTATTGTTGAATTTTCTAATTCGTTTCATATGTATATTCTCCTTGATAATATCGTATATTCCTCTACTTAGTATTATTTCTAGTTCACAGACATTACTACAGCGGAGTATGTATTACGTATATTTCATTGATATTTCATGATACGATTAGGGGATTATGGCGTGCTTTTCTTATCTGGTGTTCGGGTTTATTTTCTACATTTTATGCATCATCATGCACGGTCATTTGATTTACAATTATGTTCTAATTATCCGTTCACACCACCTCAGATTTACGCATGTTTTATGCAATTTCCTTGGCAGTTCTTTAGGGTCAAACACGTTCGCACTTATGTTTTTCCTACTTATGTTACGGTCAAACACGTCGATACTTATGTTTTCCCTTACAATTCCTCTTAGTTACGCGAAGGATGCGCACCTGTATAAATAGGGGTTACCACCCATCTCGCTTAAGAGAATTAAGGACAAGAACTACTACCAATCTACCTTCATACAAAATTCCTCCTCACTTAGCGTGCCCGCAGTATACTTTTACTACTGT